AAATTCCTTCCCCCTCCTGGCATGAGCTGTATTTACATATCAACAGTTAACAGTTAATTATCTTGCAGAGCTAAACAATTTGGCTATTCTACACTGGCGGGTTATTGCACAAGAACGGCCGTTCTTCTGGAAAGCATCCACACTGCCCAACGGCTCTTGCGCAAGAAGATTTAGGCTAGGTCTACATTGGCGGCTTATTTTGCAAGAAGGGCTGTTCTTCCGCAGAGCGTCCACACTGCCCACCTGTTCTTGCGCAAGAAGATTTACAGTAAAGCGCAGTCAGAGAGGGCTTCTTGCGCAAGAGCTATGCTCTTTTGTAACAGGTGTAAGTCCTCTTGATGTTCTTGTGCAAGAAGCTGCCAGTGTGGACATAGCCCTACAGTATGGCGTGGTAAGAGAGGGCTTCTTGCGCTAGAGCTATGCTCTATTTTAACAGGTGTAAGCCCTCTTGCGCAGGAGCTCTTGCGCAAGAGGGCAGTGTGGATGCTTGGCAGGGGTTTCTTGTGCAAGAAAGCCCTATGGCTAAAATGGCCATCAGAGCTTTCTTGCACAAGAGAGCATCCATACTACCATGGATGCTCTTGTGCAAAAGCACAGCTGGCACATGGCAGTGTGGATGTGTTCTTGCACAAGAACCCTTCTTCTTGCGCAAGAAGACGCCACTGTAGACATAGCCCTGGAGTGAGCATACCCATCCCCAGGGCAGCTCTCTCCTTTTAGCTGGCTGATAGCAAGTAGTAGTTTAAGCCCTGCTTACATTGACATAGAAACCACTGATGTTGCACTTTTATCACTCTTATGGCTTAGAAGGCAAAAACCCTAGGCTATATTTACACTGTAGGCTTCTTGCGCAAGAACTGTTTTGCGCTAGAGTTCTTGTGCAAATGATCTTGTGCAAGAGTGCATCCACACTGCCATGTGCTTTTGCGCAAGAGATGTGCTTTTGTGAAAAAGCGTCCATGACAGTGTGGATGCTTTCTTGCACAAGAAAGCTCTAATGGCCATTTTAGCCATAGAGGTTTCTTGCACACGAAACCCTTGTTGCCCATCCACACGGCCTTCTTGCACAAGAGCTCTTGTGCAAGAGGGCTTATTCCTCATGGGGAGAGGAATAATTCTTGCGCAAGAAGCCCTTTGTTCTGATGCTTTACTGTAAATTTACTTGCAAGGACCCGTGTGCAGTGTAGACGATCCGCAAGTTTTTGTGCAAGAGCAGTTGTTCTTGTGCAAAAAGCCTGCAGTGTAGACGTAGCCCTAGTGTAGAGGCAGTTGGACCAGCAAAAAAGGTCCTTTATTGGCACAGTTTACTCCCTGTGGAGAACTGGTTTAAGCTACTGGTAAAAATTCTCTGCAGAGGGAGCTTACTGAGATATTTCTACCACTAAATCTCTGTTGACAAACCCTTTCAAGTGTCTTGAGGAGCTTTTGGGTGTTCTATTTAATTCAGGATCCAATTAATAGTTTTGCCCTGACCGACATCCTTTACCTATTGTATAACATTATTGATTAATCAAAGTTAATGCTCACAGCCCCTGCTTGATGCATAATGCTTTGGTATTTGCCTGCATCTAAGTATTTACTACTTTATTGATATGATATTTATTTCTTTGTTGAATAGTGCTAGATGTTTAATTATGTAAAACAAAGGTGTAAACACAGTGGCTGCGTCTAGACTGGTAAGTTTTTCCACAAAAGCGTGTGCTTTTGTGGAAAAACTTGCCAGCTGTCTACACTGGTCGCTTGAATTTGCGCAAGAACACTGATGATCTAATGTAAGATTGTCAGTGTTCTTCTGCAAATACTAATGCTGCTCCCGTTCGGGGAAAAAGCCCTCTTGCGCAAATGTATTTTTGGCGAAAATGGCGATCGGGGCTTTCTTGTGCAAAACCGCGTCTAGATTGGCACAGACGCTTTTCCACAAAAAGTGCTTTTGCGCAAAAGCATCCATGCCAATCTAGATGCTCTTTTCTACAAATGCTTTTAATGGAAAAACTTTTCCGTTAAAAGCATTTATGGAAAATCATGCCAGTCTAGACGTAGCCAGTGGCTAAAAGCTACCAGAAGATCTGCATAAAGCTAATATCTAACAATATACTTTTTTAAAAAGTCAAATTTCAATAAAGCATGGAGAGAAATGGTGAAGGCAACTATGTGTTATCGAGATACTGAGGCCTCTGCCACATTCAGACTGATTTGAAATCTGTTTGAAAAGCAAAAGGCTGTTTACTTATTTGAGATTGTGGATATTTACAAGCAAGGCACTTACCTATTATTCGGTGCCTTGAGTAACTAAGTCAAACAGGAGTATCAGCAAACTTACTGGTTGCTCATAGAAAGACAACCAGGAACATTAGCTCCCAACAAACCTTATCTTTCACAAAATCCAGATGCCAGTACCCCACTCATGCTGATTAGTATCTTACTCCACAAAAGAGCTGTTGAAACTGTTTTTGAATAGAAAATTGGATTTTGATTAAACCCTTCATTTTGTGAAGAGTGTCTGCTTTCCTCAGAAAATTTCTATGTTTAATTGAAAAAAAAATTTTTTTTTTGCTCAGAACTGGCTTTGGACCAATCACTGTTGGTTTTAAAAAAAAAAAAAAAAAAATCAAAGAACTGTAAGCTCTTACTGTCTACTTTGTACAGTGTCTAGCACCATAGGGCCCCATTCTTCATAGGTCATTAGGACCTGCCATAAACTTGGTTATTAAATGGAAAAACACTCAAGCAAATTCGAATGACAACGGGGAAGCAGGTTCTGCAACTGAAAGCCCTTCATGGAGTTTGCTCTTTTACCAGATGACTCCCTTTTAAACTCAGTGGAGTTTGGCACAAATACCGCAGCTGATGTGAATTAATTATGGCAGATGGGCAGAGGGAGAAACTGATCTCTAAATCAGACAGCTCCTAAGCCATTTAGGTTTTTTTCTGGATGAGACAAAGCACTTGAGTTTAGGTCAAATTGAACTAATATGTGCTAACAAAGCCAGTAACTAAAACAGAGGGAAACATTTTGTAGCTTGATTTTAGCTGGCTGAGTCACAGACTAGGATAGACTAGAACTTGGACCAGCTAACTTCAGCTACAGATTCCCCTGCATCTAGGTTCGGAAAAAAGGTTGTGGTTAAGTCATACTTAGTTAGCATGTTTTATATGCACCCAGACTAAACTCAATCACTTTTCCTAGCCAAGACAAAACCTCAGGGATCATAGATCAAAAATCAACATATTAAAATGCACCCAGCAGTCAATAGGCAGACAGTTTAAGGTTTAAGATTTATTGTATCTTTTAATAATCCTTTGGCGTTTACAACATTTTTAGAGAGCCCCCATACATTTCACAAATGTGCTATAAAACAATCCTAGCCTTAAAACAAAGCAGTCTCCTCATGACCTCAATTGACCCTTACAGATCCAGCACACAACTATAACACATCAGAAATATCCCTCCAGATCTCAACAGCCATCAAATAACTTCCACCTCCAACCCCCACCAAGGCACTTTCCCAGGAAAAGCATGGGAGACGAGATAACACTTACCACATTTGCTTGATATTCATCTTTTCGTTGCTACTAACTTAGGATGTCCCCTTACATAGATTTTTATAGATCTTCTCCATGCACAACAGGGGTGTTTGAGAGAATAAATACATGAGAGACTGAAGTTCTCAGATACTACAGCATAGAAGTACATAAGACAAATAGGCTGCCAAATACCCAAGCTGCCTCTGGACACCTTGCAGTAGTAGTGATCTCCAATGTGACTACAGTGCTGTCTCCCTGTGCTGAAGCAGAATAGCCAAAGTACCGTTGTTAGGAATCAGCAGTGAGGTACAAGTACATACCATAGCACTGAGCTCTGGAGGAGCAATGTTATCAATGAAATGACCGAACACCTGCTGACTGGACTACATCTGGGGGTGCACCTTCTAACAGTGCTGTGACAGACATTTTATACTCTTGGCCCTAACACAATTGTGTCTCTCCCCATTTAGCTGATTATTATTTATTCTACAGTAATGCCACTAGTCCTAATCAAGGGGACTTTATTGTGCTATACAAACAGGGTTGGTTTGGGGAGCAGCAGGCAAGCAAGCAGGTGGGATCTTGGGTATCAGTTCTTCTGGGAGACACTGAACTGCTGCCCCCACTTTTTTGTTGTTGCTCTGCTCCTTGGGGGATGCTTTTTTTTGTAAATGTGGACTTTAATTTTTTAAATACAAAGGAGTTCAAACTAGTCCTGCAAAGAGTGTGCGTAAGAGAGGTTTATGAAAAATGTGAGTGGAAACAGTGATTGGTACAATGATTTTGTTATAACTCTCTAAAGATTTATACATAATAAAGGATTTAGGGAAATTACCTTCTGGGATCATGGTGGGGAGCTCAGCCATGGCTCTGAGCTCCCTCAGCTGGCTCTCCTACTGCTGCTCTGCCTGCTCAGCAAGGCCAGGACCGGGTGAGCGTGGGCAGGGCTTCTGGCCAGCGGGGTCAGGCCCGGGCTGCTTCTCGTACCATTCCCCCAATCCTGCTGCACTGTCACCAGTCCCCCGCCGCCCATCACCCCACAACACAGTGCTCTCCCATCCCCCTTACACAGTGGTTCTCAAACTTTTTGACCCACCTGGCTCAATGCAAACCTTCCCATGGACCACCAGCTGCTAATGGAAACTCGCTGTTAAATACATAATTACACCCGAGCTATTTTGCTGGTGCTGCAGCTAGGGAGAACAGTTTAATTCAACCAGTAAGAAAGGAAATATTAAATTATTAAACAGACTAAGCGCTTTAACTTTCTCATGTTCGTTTATCAAACTTCATTTTAAATAAAGTAAAATATTAATTTATGTCAAACACAAAAGATTCCTGTGTTTTCTTTATATATGGCAGAGGTAGAGAGCCTTTTATGGATTGCTTGGGGTCTGACCCACAGGCAAAGTGAGAAGCAAAAAAAAAACAACCCCAAACAAAGAAAAAAAAAACCCCTCAACTGATGTGGCCCCTAATTGATGCACTTCACTCCTCTGGCACTCCAGCACCACTGGGGGAGGGGGAGGAACAGGGTGGATTGGTGTCTGGGTACAAGTGGGTGGGGGCCATTTAATTGCCTTTGCGCCCCACGCTGGTCTCAGGCACTGCCTCCTGCTGCTCCCATTGGCCAGATTCTGGTCAAAGGGAGCAGCAGGGCAAACCTTGAGGCAGCATATCTGTGTGGTGCTGTACCCTCAGCCATGGGAGGGGGAGTGCTTCTTCCCCATGAGCCAGATTGTGCAGTGAGACTCAGGTCTTTCTCTCTTCCCCACCCCTAGCTGGGAGCTGGCACTGGCCTCCAACCTTCCAGGGGGTGAAGGGAGGGCGAAGCTTTAGCTCCAGTGCCGGTTTCCTGCTGCGGGAGGAAGAGGGGTTGAGCTCGAGCTGTGGAGCCCCCTCGCGCTTACTCGGGGGGATATGGGTAGCTCATTTGCACTCTTTGCATATACCTCTCCTGTATACTGGCTTGAGTGTGTGCCAGAAATGTTTTTGACCTTCCTGGCAAAATGCCTAGGGCTGCATTATTAAAGAGACAATCCCTAGCTGTTAAGGGATTAACTAGCTGTTAAACTCCAGCCACATGTGGAAAGCACCAGTTCTGGTGTTTGACTTGTGGGCTGAAAGGAAGAGTGACAACTGCATGTTTAACTCATAAAGATGGCAGTGGAGTAGAGCAGAAGATAGGAGGAAATGAGAGAGCAAAGATGAAGGGACAGAAGGAATAGCAAGTGGAGAAAAGAATGGTAAGAGGAGGATTTCTTCTCTTTGGTTTTATCCTTCCCACTAGGCCCAATATTTATTCTACCCATAGTTTTCTCACCTTTCCTTCTATATACGTTCCCCATGTTTGGCTAATGAAATGTAGCTCTTTCTCCATCTCCTGGGATACCAAGCAGACCATAGGAGGAGTAGGATCTGTTCTATACATGGAGCTTCAAAAACCCTTTCAACAAAGAGAGACAACTATGGTGGGATTTTCTAGGGTTCCTAGGAGACTCTTAATGGGGATCTCTATGGGAATCAGGTACCTAAGTGTTTTAGGCTATTTTAAAAATCCCAGACTATATCCAAACTCTGGGAGCATCTCAGCTATTGCTTTACAGGTGGAATATAGTGAAAGAAAGTTTACTGGGTTTTGGGACCTTTAAAAAAAGGGAGAATAAAAGGGCAGCTTCTGAGCGCTAACATTCTCTACAAGGAATCCCAAGACTGTCAATAGCCCTGTTCATAGCACCCCTGAATACTCAATGCCTGCTAGGCTAGCAGGATCTGGTCCCTGAATAGGAGATTCCAGAGAACCACCAGCTAGGGAAAATTTTACGCAAGTAAACAATCTGTTTACAGTGAAGGTAACAAATGACTCCAAAGGAGACTCAGTGACTAGAATTTTCAAAAGCATCTTTTAAGATGTCAGAGCTGAATGGCAATACCCTACTCTCTTTTTTACAGTAGGGCTAGCATCTTTGTCCTCTTCTGTGTTTAATCCCATGAGACAGGTCTTCCAACCTACAAAAAGTTTAGTGTGGAATGGGACACTCTGTCTGGTGTTTACATGTTCTTTAGGTACCCCACATGTGCAGAGTAAATTAGAAATCTGTAAGACCATAACATGTGAATTTGTTGCTCAGAAACAATCATCTTGTTCAGTCCCCTCTTCCCCAAAATAAACTGTTTCTATTAAGTTTCACCTTTCCCCACAATATTAATAGCTGAGTTGCTTGCTAGAGCTATTACTCCTTTGGCTCTGACTGTCACAGCTTTGTGCATGTATGCTTCCTGTGAATGTGTTACCTCCCCAGTACCACAAACTCTGATGTGACCGTATGTGCAACAGATAACCTATCAAACCAGAAATATTGGGTTTGGTGGTGGTGGAGGAGGGAGAGGAAGTAGTTGTTGCTTTTTAAAGTTAAAAAAGTATGTGGGTGTGGCTTGAATTGCTTCACAGACTTAGATGTAAATAGCTGAAGAGATATTTCCACTCACCTCTGTACTGATATTTGATCGTTTGTAAACTACAGTAGACTGAAATGGTCCAAACATAATCTGAAACAAAGGGAAAATTGCTTGGTTTCAGCTTTCATTATGCACTTAAGGCTGCCAAGGTTCATTAGAAAGTTTACTAAGTTTCTTGGATTTTCCTACAGATATAGGCCCAGTTTCATCCCTAGACGTAGGACAGCATCTGTCTCCTAATTGACATCTTGTAAAATTTATGATGGCTTAAAGTTCTACTGTGAAATCAGGGAAAATGTGTCCATTTTGACAGAGTTTTGAGTTTAAAACCTAAAACCGAAAGGAGAACGAGGGGATACAAATCTCTGCGGGGACCAAATCCCAGGGGAACAGGCCTAGGAACCCCAGAGAAGCAAAGCTGCTGAATTTCAGCCAAGTCTCACTAACACAAAATGAGACCACTGGGACTCAGAGACTCCTTTTTAATGGGAATATTATTCCCTTCACATGTTTTTACATGGCAAAGATTTAATTTCTCTCAGGTGGTCAGGGACTTTAGGCAACTTCTTTTGTAGATGAAGGTACACTCCCACAAGGTCTTGGTTATAAGGCAACCCCTCCTGCAGCAGGCTGCTGGTAAATCAGCACATAGTTTCCCCTTCCATAGTTCCCAGTATGTTCACAACAGCTCACTTGCCTTAATAATTCTCCTCTTTGGAGCTAATTTATTACCAAAATACAGATTAAATAATCCTCAACACAGGAAGTCTCAAACAAAGTCCATTTCCTTCACCTGCTGGAGATAGTCCTTGTCACCCTGATCTTCACAACAGGTGTCCTCACCAGCCTCTCTGCTGGCAGCCCTTCCAGATCATATTATGGTGTCTTCTGCCACATTGAGGCTCTGCTAAGACAGACACCCCATCTCTCCCAGGTAAAGGAGAACTCCACTCTTTCTCCACATCCTTCCTCACTCCTGAAGTTCTCTCATTGTTCTCCTGCAGCCAGCTCTGGCATGAAGGTATCCTCAGGTAAGTGCCTTCAATCCCACCCCTCCAATCTTCAACACTCCGTTCCAGGGCTGTGGCCTTCCAGTAAGATATCACCACTCTCACCTGCTCTTATCCTGGATGACTCAGTCTGTACTTTAACTAGGGATAGAACAGTATAGGTCAGTGGTCCCCAACCTTTTTGAGTGGTGGGCGCCATGTGGTGGTGCCAGGCCACCCAGGGATAGGGCTGCACATGAGCAGCGTGACCAGGGCTGGGCCGTGCATGTGTTGCGCACCCAGGGCAGGGGCCGCACATGCACCGTGCTCCCGGGGGTGGCACTAGGCGGGCGCACATAAATGCCCCGGTGGGCACCATGGCACCCACGTTGGCAACCACTGGTGTAGGTGATAAACTGATAAGCAAAAGCATATAGGTTAATGCTACAGACTACACGCATTCCCCCACCCTTGCCAGTACATTTTTTAGCAGGCTGGCCAGCAGCCAGGTTCAGTCCTGGCTTGTGCTGGGTCCAGGACCTACCCCTGCTGCAGCTCTGCATTGAAAATGTATTAGAAGGTAGTCGGATAGGCGGCCTGGCTCAGTTGCAGCTTATGCTGGGTCCAGGAGCTCAGACACTCCCTCCCCTACAACGGGCTGCTGCCACCCCTATATCAGAGGCAGCAGCATGGGGCAACAGGAATCCGGTCTGCAAGGGGAGCTGTTTTTTAAAACTGGTTCCCCTCAGCAACCAGCTCCGGCCTGGCACCCAAAGCTGCTGCAGAGGCAGCAGTGTAGAGTGGCAGAGGGCTGCTCAGGAGTGGGGCCAGATTGCACTGCCTGCCAGCCCCACTCCTGGGTACTATAGAATAGTTGTAACCGATAAGAATTCATGAGGTTACTTGATTGTTCAATTAATTGATATTTAACATTCCTAGCTCTATCCCTCACTTACCGGGTCTCTCCACCTTTTGGCTCCTGGTGCTCTCTTTTAAGTCCATCTGGGGATCAGCTGACCAGTCCCCCTTACATTAGCTTCTTTGTTCTTAAAGGGCCAATGCTACTTTTGACAGTATCTCTTCAAAAGTGACCTCTAGGAGTGCCCCCATTGCAAGCCTGGAGATCTGGGCCCTGAATATTGTATCGGCACATGCAAAAACATACAACTGTATTTCCAGGTCACTGCTCAGTTAGCACCTTTGTGAAACCTGTGCCTCGTAGCCTGAGAAAACATAACAAAAATGAAACCTGTGCTAACCACAGTGTGACTGGAGAAACCATTATGACATTTTCAGGCTTTAAACAACACAATAAACAAACAAAAATTAGGGCTCATGAGCCTGTTCCTGCTCCCTTTGTTATCGCTGGCTAAATTCCCATTGGCTGCAGGTGGAGCAAATCTGCCCCTAATGTTGTTCAACCTTGCTTTCAGGCTGTATCCCTGTTTTTCCAAAATTCCCAAGAATTTTAAATTTTGGGTTTGAATGATAGCTTATTTCTGGCTGACCTGCTCTGTTTGAACTGTAATGTGTTTTCAAGTGTTGGACTTATTTTTAATCTACTGTATTAGTGTACAAACTTAATCAAGAACAAAATGTTACCAATGCTAAGTTTTGTTCCTACATGTGCATATCAGTTCAAAGTTCTCTAATTCTATAAAGATCTCCCTCTGACATCTGACTCATTTCTGAACATTAGTACATTCTTTTCACTGTAAATATACCGGGGGCGGGTGGCAGCAGTGGTGGTGAAGAGACAAACATGAGCTCCTATTAAATACAACTCTCTTGGCTTACAAGAAATACTATAGGGCAGATTTTAACAATTAACATTCCTACCATGTATGCTGCTATGTATAAAGCTATTGCATTTTCCCAGTACTTCTCACTCAAATATACATTCAGTTTATTTTCTGTTATTTGATGTCAGTGGTGAATGTAACATTCCTCTTCCTTCCCACCCCCATTCAAAAAACAAGATTTTATCTCTCCCTTCCCAATCCCCTTTGCTTATCCTATGCCTATTTTTCTGAAGCCTGACTTTTAGGTCAGCATGCTGGTAAGAGATTAATTTTACCCTGCAAGAAACACCAAGCAAAGTATTTCTGCTTTGACATATGAGAAGCCTGTTATAAGAGTACAGTTTTTTTAAATTAAATATTAAGCAAAATTAAATCCAATTGTGGTTCATACTCCTATGGAAAATATTTCTGTTCAAAACAGCCCTCCATGATATATGCCTAAGTAAGTGAAAACACAATAAACATACAGCAAGTTTTAAAACCCAGATTATTCAGATTTTAATGTTTATAACTAAAAGTGGTTTAGTGTTTCATGTCTAATAATAGATTACTGCTATCACATTTCTAACCTTTATTTCTACCAGCTTTGAAGTTTGGCCATATAAAGACTGTTTGTAGAACCACACGAAAGTTAAAGCAAATATTACTCAGAGTGATTCATATGAGCAAGAATTTGCAATGAAGGAAGAGGGTTTTTTGTGTCTGTATCAAAGGAAATGAAATGTTTGCAATATTTTCCAGCTGATAAATTTATTAAAACATTTTTGAGTTACATACTATGAACACTGCTGACATAAACAGACTTTGACCTGAAACAGATTATGTTAGACTCTGTGGGGGAGGCAGAATTTAAAAAATTCCTCGATTTCACAAATTGACACAAGGTCACTGCAATCCTTAATTAACTGAATACATTAACAGATGCTATAACAGAGATGTTAAGAAAAGAAAGAGTACATTTAATCCTCTGTTCTTCATTTACTTCATCAGACTACTCTTTCAGAATGAATAACCTTTTTTTCTTTTCAAGTATCTATTTACCTTTGTGAGCTTTGCCTAGCAAAACATTTTTCATTGTTGCAAAAGAAATTAATTTGTTGCTAGTTGCCACACATTGGCATGATTTCTGCATAAAGAATGTAAGCCATCTATCTTTGTGTTCAAGATATAGTTAATCTGGCAGTTAAAATACTTTGGAAACATTTTGATGACTTATCTGGAAAAAGTAGCTTTGCGTTTTCAAAGAAAACTCAGAAATGTATGCAGGGGAAGATAAAAGATATATGAAGTGTTTGTTTTAAGCGATACTATTCATTTAAAGATCATAATGTAACCCCACCCAAGCAATTATTGTGGAAAAACAAGACAAATCTCCTTATATAGCTTTCTGACACAGTCTTGATTTGGAAAACAAAATAAGTACATTACTGTTATAGTCTAATGGATTGCAAGCTGTTTTATTAGAGTCAGCTGAGTCCTGTTTTGCATAAAAAAGAACTCTGTTTGCTATCAAGAACACATTTACATTAATAAGACTTTGACAAAGTAAAATAAAATCACATTAAGATGATGTAAGTAGATAAGACAATGAAATCTCTTTGAGATAGTTTTGGCACACCAATTACAGTCAAGTCCCTACAGGAAAGAAACATATTTTTACACCAAGTATCCATGTGTTTTAAAGTTGTAGAGTGGCCAAAATTAAAGCCTTGTTAAAAATATTTCCAGGAAGGATGACCAAAAAAAAAAAAAAAAAAAGAAAGCATTTTGATTCTTTTCCCTTTAAAAAGATAGGATGTCTGATAAATTACAAATTTATTTTGCAATAATACAAACAAGTTTTGTTTTCCTCCTAGCCTATAATCATTCTGATTATTGCAAGGGACTTTCCAATATAGAGCAGCTGAAAACAAGGTTTTAGATTACATGGTAATTTAGGAATGCATGAAAAGCCAAGCAGTTACCATAATAGAGCTTTGCATAAACTTCATGGCTTTTAGAGAAAAACATAATAACATATGTTTTGCGATTCATTTAAATGATTTTTCTATTTTTTGGGTTAGGGTTTTATCAAAATATTTTGGACTTTAGTATTTGCCCAGCATTTGTAGAAACTTACTTCTCTTTTAAAACTTTGATGTCTCTCTTTTCAGTTTAGTCATTAAAAGCAGGCAGCGAGGGATGATGATAATTCTGTGGATTTTATGACTAATCAGACCTTAGCAACAAGCAGTATTTCTTCTATAGTGAAACTTTAATATTCCTTTGGCCTTGTATAAACTTTCTCCCCTCTCCCCCC